TGGAGCCTGGAGGCTGGCAGGTGGAAGATGCGAAGTGGAGGCTGCGAAGTGGAGGGCTTCAGGCTGCGAAGTGGAGTTGTGGTCTGTGGAGGCGATTCAGGCGGGCAGAGGGCTGGAGGCGATTCAGGCGAGGCTTTGGGTGCGAAGGGATGGCTGGAGACGCTGGAGCCTGGAGTCGTCGAGTGGAGATTTGTGATTTGGGAATGAGGTTTAAGATTTGGCATTTTGGGATTGGGCTGGGTAGTTCACAGTTGGGCCTTTGGTTAATGGGTATTGTATAAGTTAGTTTGGGCTGGGATTTGAGCCTATAATTAAAAAAAAAAAAATTGGGCCCAGAAGTCAGGATGGGCCTGTGCCCATCCTCGGCCTAACTGGGCTCCGCCCCTGGGCTAGTTTACCTAGCGACGGCCGGTTTGAGGAAGGTGGAAGGGAAGTGCAACGGTGGAACTGAGCAATGTTTTCCAGTTGATATTGTGCAATACAAAGCTACAACTTTTAAGCAACGGCTGGTTTACCTAGCGGCAGCCGGTTTGAGGAAGGTGGAAGTGAAGTGCAACGGTGGAACTGAGCAATGTTTTCCAGTTGATATCGTGCAATACAAAGCTGCGACTTTTAAATCGCTAATTATGTTTAAAATTTTGTTTCAATAAAAAAAAAAATTTTTTATTGTTTCGGTCAAAGGAAAATCCAAAAAGGTCTTTCTTACACACACACACACACACACATTAATGAAAAAACACCTTCTTTATTGAGAAAATTATCGTTAGCCTTTGACATTTGGTGTGGAGAAAAATTAGTAATCCATTGCCCATTAATTCCGTTTGCATACTAGTTTGTTTATGTGGCAATATAAATTTCGATTACATTTTTTCTGCGTTCTTTCTCGATGTCTTGTATATCAAGTAATATCATACGAGTGAAGAAAGACAGTCACTTATGAGCACAATCTTGACAAAATTTCATGAAAAAGTTGTAATTGACACACAATACATGTGTTTAACACTACAAATTAAATAAACTAAAAACGTTTTACATATATTCTTAATTATGATCTCCTAGGATGCAAACTTTATATTGAAAAGTGACATAGTTATTTCAGAACTTTAAGGGTTGTTCTCTTTGTGTTTCAATTTTGTGTTTTGAGTTTTGAATTCATGTGAATGTCTGTTTTGAAATTTTTGAAAATACGTTCTTTTTGTCATTCTGAAAAACTGTTTTCGAAAACAAAAAAAATGGAAACCCTTTATTTTGAAATTTTGAGAATTTTTTTAATAATATTTTATTCAAAAAATCTTATTAGTACAAAAATTTTAATGGATTAATGTTAATATATTATTAAATAAAATATAAATTTTGTAGTTGGTGAATCTTCATTAAATCATCAAAATTTGCATCAAACTCATCCGTCAATAACAAATCATCGTCACTTGAATCTTCATCAATAGAATCGTCGACATACCCCCATGTTTGACGAATCCATTATTTGATTTTTCTCTTAAAACTTCAGCATAACAAGAAATATGTGATGATCAAGAAGTTCATGGGTATCAACAAGTGCAGGGGAAATTATGAAAATATAAGTTCGAGCATTTTGAGATTATTAGTCGGAGATACAAGATGATGAGTGCTGACATCACAGGTATATCGGTCTACCCCCTCCAGGTGGTTTCTGCTGCAGGTTCACTCACAAACAAAAATCACTCAAAGTTCAGAAATAGCTCATACACAAACAACACTAATGATGCATTTTTCGAAGGAATTTCATCTTTTTCAATAACAATAAATTGATTTTTATAACCATGGTCAATAAATTAGCTTCGGAGGGTTGCCCCTGATCATCAGATAGAACAACAGAGATGGACAAAGTATACTGATTAAAGCATTGAGTAACAACTTTCTGGTAATGCCATGCTAAATGATAAGTATATTTTGTACACTTATTCGGAGCTTGAAACTATATAATTTTATTGTTCTTTTGGCAAAATACAACATAAATTGTGCTATATTATATCTTGTAGGTAAAACTCGATGTTTGAGAAAAGAAATGGAGAAAAGAGTGCAAAATAGAGAAAAAATGACAAAATTCAAATTACGAGGATTAAATTGCATTATATTAAAAGAATTGAGGACTTGGAGAAATATAAATTATAAATGGGCCTCAATTTGGAACTCAGGTGGATCACGTATTGGACTTTATTGTTGAAAGAAAAAAAGGGTTGCCAGTAGGTTTGATATAAAGAAACACGTTAAGACGGAAAACGGAGGGGAGCAGCCGGCATAAAGAAAATTGAGAGAATTGTGGCTGCCATATTTTACTCTTTTATAAGCCGGCAGCTTGGTGAAAACGAGGACTTTAGTGGTCTGTATTAAAGGGTTTTAATTCGTTTAGTGGTCGGCAGATTGGAGAATTAAAAGAGAGATTATACATGTAGGCGGTGGCTATTATATATACACGCAGAAGGCTGGAAAGTGGGCAGATTGAGATGGTTACTGAATACATATTATATACACAGGGACAGCACTTGGAGAGTAAAGGAGAAGGATTTGGCTGCATTATAATATTATTTTCACATAAATTGGGCAGCAGATTGGTTGAAAGCAAGAACTTAGTGATGAATTTTAAAATATATTCATCCACGCAGAAAAAGCCGGAAGCTTAAATCATGGATTAAAACACTTAATTCGAGACCAAAAAGACAGCAAAAATAGTTAAAATATGAGGATGGCAAAAAATCAATAAACTACTACGATGTGTGCCCCTTCTCTGTAGCAGCTTCAAAGGTCTCACCATCAACAAGGTCAAGCACCTCATCCTCATCATCTTTCCGTTCCAAAGTAGCACCAGCACCAGACACCTGCTTCTGGAACTGCTCTGCCAATTTCTTCAATAATAAAGAAATTTATTGAACTGGTTGCTTTGTTCTCTATGTTCGGAAGACTTCTAATCTGCTAGTTGCTTTCACCTCTATGTACAAAGATTTGAATCAACCGCACAACTTCAAAAAACAACATTCTACACAAGGTTAAAACCTGACTCAAAAAGGAAGAAAATGAGACATTCTATGTTGAAACTGGACATATATTTTCTTGCAGGAGTTTCACAGCTCAATGATGACTCTAACTGCTAAAAATAGTTTGGTTTAGACTAACTGTTTTAAGGGTTGGAATGACAACATGTCAAAAACTGTCAATATTGAACCGCTTATGCCTCTAGATCAAGTGTTAGTTAGCTTCATATTTTAAAGCACGCCAAATTGTATCCCGGGAAACAATACATGCACAAGCAGAATAAATTAAACGTTTACAGGTATAATTCATAGTTCATACATTGACCTTCATAGTTGTCCCTACTTAGAATGTCTTGACCCAAGCAAAAAAGTCAGAATGTCCTTTCAGCATATTGAACACAAAACTTTACTTCATAAGCAAGTTTGCCAATTAGTAAATAAGTTAGATAATATATTTATTGATCAAATTTGGAAATAAGTTACTTATTTTGTTACTTCAGAACTTTGTTTACTTAAAAGTAAGAAACAAGTAATATATCCTAACGTTTTTGCAGACTAAAAGATATTTAAAAGAAACTTTTAAATTTTTTAAAGCAAAAATCATGAAATTTGATGAGAACTAAAATTGATTACATGTTCCAGGATCTGAAAACATTGAATTACCCTGCTGCTGCTGTTCTCAAATCCACAAATACCACTTTTACTGCACCATCTATACAATCAGGAACATTCCATGTTAAGTTAAGATCACCATTAAGGTAAGATGAAAATCCCTGGTTCTAAAATGCCAATGAAACTGGGATTGGCAAAGTATCAATTATATTGCACATGTTCATAGCCCTGGCATTCAACATACAAGTGTGAATTTACGTAGAAATTGTATCAGTTCTTGATAGTTTATAGTCAATGCCCTTCTGCAAATAACAGAGATAACCTATTGGTGATTCAAATATATAGCTTTTTTGTATAAATTTGCATGAACAAACTAGAAGATGGAGATGGAGATTTGAAAGAGGCTTTTGATGCTTTTGATGTATAAATTTGCTTGAACAGTTAGTTGTTTATTCGTAGTGTTGGAAAACTCACTGCATGTAGAACACTGTTTATGGAACACAAAAGCAATAAATATTAGGAATAATATTTATGGCGTGTGGATTATGTATGATAATCCTAAACGTCAATGCATGCTTGTCATATGAATTCGGACTAAGAATATGATCGTCTCGTGGCAATCATAGATTNAAATTGGTTTCCAAAAGAATTCTAATCGAATAAGAAAGTTCCATTCGCACGAGGATCTTTTGGTCTCTGCATAGTAGTCCGTATTTTGATCATAACTTCCTCTCTTGATATTTGATTGATGCGATTCAAATTGCCTTGTAAAGCTATCTTAAAGAGCTACAACTTTAATAGAAATATGATATTTCCAATTCGGACATTTACTATGGAAAAAATCGGTTTCAATCTTCGACAAGAAATCTGGAATATAACTTGTACGATTGAAAATTGATTTTTATCATATTCCATTCCTTTTGAGTTCTAATTCAATCAAATTGTCTCATAAAAATATTTCAAGTATTATCTTTTGGTCCAAATCAACTATTGAATATTTTCAATTTGGTCCTTAGACTTTGGATGCTGCACTTTTTCACCAATTTTTGCTTCTTTCTTTCGATTCTTCGTTCAACCATTGAATTTTACCTATATAACATAAAATACAACAATTTAGGATATATATTGTCAAAAGAACTACCAAATATAAATATTTTAGGACCTCGAACAAGTGTAAAAATTACACTTATCAGTAGAATGTGCATTGACATATTGCTTTGTTTGTGTATTAAATAATTTTTTTGGACTTGTTTCATTTTGTTAATTGGTTTATTGAGTTTTGAGTTTATATTAGTTAAAAAAAAATTGAATGCATATTGCATACTTTAATTTAAGAGTTCAAATTTAAAATTCATCTCAGGCCTCGAGAAATCAAAATTTGACTTTGATTAATTTGTGCCTGCTTGCACGGGACAATATTCCTGGCTCCGACCCTGATTCTAGAAATGTCATAATCCCCTGCTTTAACATCTAACTTTACCAGGTGATGCCATCGAAAGGAAATGAAAAAATTGAAAATTCAGTTGGATCCGTTTGGACATCCAGTATTTTTAAAAAGGCCAAAATATTAAAAAATGAAAGAAAATCAAAAGCACCAACCACCAGCACAAACTTGATTAACAAGCACGACGCAATGATCATGAAGTTGTTGAATAATCATGTCACGGACTGTTGTCTTTCCGGATGTTGTACCGCCCGATACACCTACTCCACCAACAAACATACCAAAAAAAAAAAAAAGTCACCGAGAAAGAACAACTCTCAGAATTCCGAATATCAAAATATGAGAAAAATTAGACTAAGCTAGTGGCCATCAACCTAAAAACATGAAGTAATGGTGAAAATGTCTTGATAATCAAATTACCTATAATGAAGGGCTGCTTGATGACACAGGAATCGGCAAGGGAAGTGGAAAAGGCGGGAGTAGTAGGAGTGGAGGAAGAACGAAAAGAAGATGAGCTCGCCGCGGCGGACATAAGGCTGTCGAGGCGGAGACCGGAGAAATGTAGGCCCGACGCCGCCTCCATCACGTAATTTATATCCTTCGTGATCGTAGCTTGCACCACTCTCAGTTTTTGAGTCCATTTCCAGACAAAAATAGTAGATTAAAACTTAGAATATATTCATCGATTTATGATTCAAAATGCCTTCTCTCAAACGAGAAAGGCTTTTACCTTTCGTTCAAAAGAAGGCAGACGGCCGCGACAAATCCTTCTTCTTCATCATATTCATTTTCTTCCTCCTCGTAGCCAGTTCGACAAAAATCGCCACCTTCCAATATGGCTAGTGCTTTGTTGGGCTCTTTTAAAGTAGATAGAGGTGAGATATTTGTTAACCAGTTTGGAGAAAAGTAAGGTGTGAAAATGTGCAACTCAACTATGAATAGTAAATCCTCTCAAGAGTCTTTTAAGGAGATGGGATTTACTATTAAAGGTAATGTACTAAATTGTATTTAATTGTAGACACTGATATTCATAATTTTATTATTTATTTTGAATAAAACGTATTAAGCCCCTCTCTGTCTACTATTCTCCAAAAAAAATCATTTTTTTCTAAAACTTATTTTTAACCACACATTCTCACAATAAAATATTTTACACATAACCAAAATTTTTATTTCTACTTTTAATCACATATTCTAAAAAAAAATTCTCTATTTTCATTTTTTTTTCAAAAATTATTTTTAATGTACATCAAACAGGGGCTTAATCAACTGCTTGGACAGTTACATGACTATGTTGTTGCTTCTTTTGATGATCCTTAACATCATAAATTGTGCTGCAGACCACGATTCTTTAGTTTGGCAGTTGTTTGTGGACTAGAATACTTGAGCTACACATTATCTTAACAAAAATCTTATCTCGCCCGACCTGTTCAACTTTTAATCCAACTGTTGATATGAACACGTTGGATTAACGCTACGTGATAAAGCAAATCACAAAAGCACTGAAAAAAACCCAACTCCTCCTATTACTTATATATACAAACATAACAAAAATAAGCGCAAATCTCTGCAAGTCTCTGATCTCTCTTGATTTCTTGATCCTGCATTCGGTTTTCCTCTTTCTAGAAGACAGCAGATACTAATGGTGAGACTCAAATTTTTCTTTTTTTGGGCAAATTGAGTTTATTGTTTACTGTGTAAATTTGATTTCATTTGATGGAATTTAATTTATTTGCGTTTTTGTGGTTTTTTAGGCATTGCTACTTGTACATTAGTGGTTAGATTGAGGCCACAATGTGATACACCTCGGAAGGATTGATGAGTGTAAATTACTAATCGAACTAATACCTTTAAAACATAGTTGTCGGCTTCTTGTTGAACACTTTTGAGCTCTTTAATGTGTTTGTTCATGTTGTTTTGTAGGTTAGATATATCGAAGAAAATAACATATTTTGGAGCTTGGGATGGAGCCACGTGCGATCATAAAAGTGGACTTGAAGAGGAGGTGAAACAAGGGGAAAAAATGAAGTGTAAAAGTGGCGAAGACAGAGGCAAGTAAATGAGGGCAGAGACTTGGGCACCATAGTGCCATGGCTAGGCGCCCAAGAAACAAAAAAAAAATTAGCAAAAAGTTGGCTGCTGCATGGAAAAATAAACAGAAGATGTGGCGTCGAGAAGTAGAAATAGTTGTTATTTATAATTTTTTCGGCCCGGCCCAATTTCAATCCGCATTGATAGCATAAGAGGTTGTAAATATAAATTGGAATACCTAATCCAAAAAGAGAAAAAAGCATTAGGAGAAAAATAAAAGGATGAATCATCAAGAGCAANAAGACCTAATTCAAAAAGAGAAAAAAGCATTAGGAGACAAATAAAAGGATGAATCATCAAGAGCAAAACCAACAATGAATTGGAGAAGAAATCAAGCGGTTTTATTATTCTTTTCTTCTCCATGTTCTTTTCTTTAGATTGAATATGTCGTTTTTAATAGTCATGGACTAATTTTAATATCTAGGGTTTGATGTAACTAAACTCGAGACGTGTTTGGATTCTATTATAGTTAATTCATTTGATTTTTCCGTTAATTTATTCGTGTTAATTCTTGAACATTGCTGTCAATTACTTGATCAATAATTGAATGAATTGAAACTTTAAATTTCGGTACGAGAGAGAGAGAGAGAGAGAGAGAGAGATGCGTGATCTAAGAATAATATAACATAAGAAATTATAGGTTTCGAGAGATTCCTTTGAGTCTTATCTCATTTAAGAATACTGCACATTTGATTTCTATAGCGTTAATTTAAAATAGAAATATTGGAATTAAAATATAGAAATAGATTCTATTAGCACTCAAGAGAGGAAATGGAATTTAACCTAAGATTCTTGATTATGACTTCAGGAAAAATCGATAGAAATAACTATAGAAGTTGAAAAACACTGTTGATAGTGAGGTGAAATCAATCCCTAGGTTTTCTAACATTGATAATTCTCCTATAATTTGTTTTCATTTCATTTAAATTGTTACACATTCATATTATTTTAGGATAAAAACATTTACTTGAATAGAAAACGTGTGACCAGGATATACGCCGAAGTGGCAAGAGGCAAAACGATGTTGCAGGAACAATATCACGTCACCTCGTCTATATTTAATAGGAGATCTTTTATACAAAGGTCTTGCCAAAACAAGATCCACACNAAGACCTAATTCAAAAAGAGAAAAACGCGTTAGGAGACAAATAAAAGGATGAATCATCAAGAGCAAAACCAACAATGAATTGGAGAAGAAATCAAGCGGTTTTATTATTCTTTTCTTCTCCATGTTCTTTTCTTTAGATTGAATATGTCGTTTTTAATAGTCCTGGACTAATTTTAATATCTAGGGTTTGATGTAACTAAACTCGAGACGTGTTTGGATTCTATTATAGTTAATTCATTTGATTTTTCCGTTAATTTATTCGTGTTAATTCTTGAACATTGCTGTCAATTACCTGATCAATAATTGAATGAATTGAAACTTTAAATTTCGGTACGAGAGAGAGAGAGAGAGAGAGAGAGAGAGAGAGAGAGAAATGCGTGATCTAAGAATAACATAACATAAGAAATTATAGGTTTCGAGAGATTCCTTTGAGTCTTATCTCATTTAAGAATATTGCACATTTGATTTCTATAGCGTTAATTTAAAATAGAAATATTGGAATTAAAATATAGAAATAGATTCTATTAGCACTCAAGAGAGGAAATTAAATTTAACCTAAGATTCTTGATTATGAATTCAGGAAAAATCGATAGAAATAACTATAGAAGTTGAAAAACACTGTTGATAGTGAGGTGAAATCAATCCCTAGGCTTTCTAACATTGATAATTCTCCTATAATTTGTTTTCATTTCATTTAAATTGTTACACATTCATATTATTTTAGGATAAAAACATTTACTTGGATAGAAAACGTGTGACCAGGATATACGCCGAAGTGGCAAGAGGCAAAACGATGTTGCAGGAACAATATCACGTCACCTCGTCTATATTTAATAGGAGATCTTTTATACAAAGGTCTTGCCAAAACAAGATCCACACGATTGATCTGACGTGATATTTGTACAGCAGAAGCCAAAAGGTCAGTCATTAGGGAGCATGAAATGCCCTTCCACCTAAGGACTGATTAATTGATACCTAGAAGAGGAAGCATCAACCAATAGATACGACCACGTGTCCCTCCATCCATCGGCCCCAAATCCGTCTCTTCCTCTATAAATAATCACACTCAACTTTCATTTCAGTATTAATGCAATCATATACACTTAAAACATACACTTGCTTTATTATCTTGAAATTAAAGTATGTTATTTCCTTTCTTCTTCAACATTAACTGGCTTGATTGTCGAAGCACTCGCGGTCGCCTCCACCACCACTGGAGAAAGCCACAAGTGACTAACGATTTTCTATTGTATGTAGAAAGTTATCCATGTAGAATATTTACTTGTTGGCCACGTAACCTACGAAAATCGAGGTCAGCGGTTATACTTCCAATTATTCCATTTCATGTGATAAAAGTGTTGTATTTTGAATAGATATACTGAGTCTTTATAATTTAAATGAAAATTATAAAAATAATAATTTGAAACTGAATTAAATGAGAAATTGATCACAACCGTTTAATCCTCGATTCTAATACTTGAACACGCGCGCGTGCACACACAAGTAGTTGATGACTAGAAATGACATAGCAGATTTAGACCAATTTAGCCCCCGTTTGACAATCATATTTCGATTTTTTTTCTTATACTTATTTTCAACCACACATTTATACAATAAATTATTTTACACATAAATTCAAAAGTTTTCCTATTATTTAACCACATATTCTTCAAAACATTACCATTCAAAACTCTATTTTCTCAAAATAATGACCATAAAATATGGACTTAAT